GGGGTGGTGGGGTGGGGTATTACTTTAGTAGTATACCTTTGGAATTGAAGACCGACCCAAATAATGTCGGCGGGCCACAATCCAGGATCGGGAAAATATTGGATCGGCTTGGGCGATACCGATACCAAGTTCCCACGCGGCTCGTATCGGATCGCCCCAGCTGATCCCAATCATCTGATAAATCGGGATTGGATCGGAAAAACGATCCGATCCCGATACACAGTATTGGGGGACATTTCGATCCGATCCCCGATAAATACCGATCCGGGGATCGGATCTGTTACATCGTTGCTACAGATATATCTTTGGGGTCAACACTTCGAACTTCAAGTTGATGCACAATCCTTAATCCAGATGATCAACTCACCATCACTACCCAATGCGCCTATGACTAGATGGGTGGCTTTTATTCAGTTATTTTCTTTTGACATAGTCCACAAGAAAGGAAGTACATTCACCCTGCCGGACAGATTATCCAGAAGACCAATCAGTGACGAAGAACCAGAATTTTACAAGGATCAAGAAGATTTTGACGAAGACGAACCAGTTATTAGAGCTTGTGTTCATATCAATGTATCCAATCTTTCATTTGAGCCTAAGGAATGGGAAGCTTCTGGATATTGGATGGACCTTAAGCATTACTTAATGACTCTAAAACGACCAACTGGGATGGACCCAGAAAATTTCAGGAAATTAAAAAGAAAATCAGTCAACTTTTTCATTCAAGATGGACGACTTATGCGACGACACTCACCTCTTGGACAATTGGTCATTTCCAACCACGATTATCAGTGCAAATTACTCCAAGAAGTCCATGAGGATCTGGGACACAGAGGCCTGGAAGAAACTTATCAGAGGCTGGTTTGCAGATTTTGGTGGCCAAGTCTTAAGAAGCAGGTCAAGCTGTGGGTTCAGAGTTGTGAAGCGTGTCAGAAAAGGGATTCTTTAATTCCTCGAGAAATCAGAAACCCTACCGGCAAAAGTAGCTTATTTGGACGAGTGGCGTTGGACGTCTGTCACATTAAGGCTGGAAGATATAAATATTTACTAGTGGCTCGAGACGACTTATCTGGATGGGTGGAAGCAGCTCCTCTAGAAAAATTGACTGCGGCAAAAATTGGAAAATTTCTTTTGGAGGAATGGGTCTATCGGTACGGCGCAATCAAGACGGTAACGGTAGACAATGGACCGGAATTCAAGAGTGAATTTATCAGTGCAGTCGAGAAAATTGGGGCCAAGTTCAAACCAACAACACCTTACTATCCTGAAGCAAATGGAATGATTGAAAGAGGCCATAAACCACTTAAGGATGCCTTGATCAAGATGTGTGGCGAATCTGGTGGAAAGTGGAGGGAATATTTACCATTAGTACTTTTTTCTGATAGAATTTCCACAAAAAGATCAACAGGTTACTCCCCATATGAATTAGTCTTTGGTCAAAAGTCTGTTCTTCCCGTGGACCTTGAAATGGACACCTATTTGGGAATTGATTGGATGGAAGTCAGTACAACAGCGGAATTATTGGAAGCCAGAACTCAGCAACTTGAAAGGAAAGAAGAACTCTTGGGAATAGCTTACCAGAAACTCCAAGACACTCGAGAATCCTCAGTCAGATTTTGGGACAGAAAAATGGCAGCTAGACTCCGGAATCCTTTGGCGCCTGGCGAAATGGTATTGACTTATAATAAAAGCTTAGAAGATCAGTGGGGTAAATTATTTGAAAACAGATGGAATGGCCCTTTTAAAGTTAAAAAACAGCTTGAAGGAGGATCTTATATTCTTGAAGAATTGGATGGTGTGGAATTAAAAAGAGCTTATGCTGCCTCCCATATTAAGAGGTTTTATTCCAGAGGAAGGGACTTGGAGGAAATAAGGGCAGATGAGGAAGATTCAGATTCAGACTCAGACTCCCATTCATCTTTAGAGTCAGCATCAGATCAAAACTC